TTCAATGTCAATAGTAACAGTTATAAATGTATTGGTCAAGAATGTCAATAACAGACGCACAAACAACAGTACCATTGTGCACATTCCTCCAACCATCCAAGCAAACAAATTTTCACAGCTTCATTTTGTGTAGTCCACATGATTAAGACCAACAAAGGTTTTACGCAACTTATACTCAGCCTTCTGCTGACCAGACATTACTATTCTGCGATTTTTCCAACTCTCATCATTATACTGCAATTTTCCCTATTCTATCCCCGCCATGTATCAGCTGTTCACAGTTTCATCCAAATGGAAGCTTGAACATCACCGTAGTAACAGGCTACCAATTGAAAGATGTAAGGAAAAAGGTAACAGAAGTGACCATTGGATATTTTTTTTATTTCTAAAAACATAGACTCGCCAAGCTTCCAAACACAGCATTTTGATGATGTTTATAACACACATATACACACACACAAAAAAAAAAGTTTAAATAATGTGAAGAAAAAGAACACAACAAAGGAGAAGGAAGAGAAGGGAAGAACAAAAATAAAAGAAAAAGGGGAAAAGAGACTAAGGGAGAATTGTTGACTTAATACCATACTGTCTATAATGACTCGTAATTATTTTTGGTTTAAGAAAACCCCACAGCTTGACAGTTAATATAGTAACCAAGAGCCCAGAAACTCAGGCATTTATTTTATCTAAAATAGACAAAAAGGCATTTTTTTTTACTAAAATAGCCTAGAAATAATACGATAAATAAGAAAAACTACGATTTCTTCTTTGTATCCCAAATTTTGTTCTTGAATATACTATATGAATAGGTAATGAAATCACATTATATTTTATATTGTTTCTCTTTATATTCAGTTTCCACAAAGTTTTTTATATAGTCCTTATTATATATGTTTTCTGTAAAAGTTGTCCTATTTGTAGGTCGAAATGTAATTGTAAAATGGGCAATTTAATGTCTGTACAGTAAATAAATCAATTTAAAAGGAATTAGTGTAAAAAATCCATAATTAAAATTGATCAAATTTTTTTTGTCTAACTTAAACTTAAAACTATCATCATTTGAGGCACACTTCCGGGCTCTGTTAATAAGATTTATGAATACACTCACAGTCCATGAATTCATTAGCCATTTTAATTTTCCACTGTTTCTTTCTATCTCTTCCAAGTTCTTGCTAAGAATTCACAACTTAAATCCCTCCAATAGAAACCTGGCTTCACGGACACACTGCACCCTAGGCTTAGTTATCAATGTTTCAGCTGTCATACTGCAACATTCCTCAAGAGAAAACAAGCAACTACACCTAGGAACAGCATCTCCTGGATGGTCAAGTTTCTATTGTCTCCAGCCTGGGACGTCTATGCTTTTATTTAAACTCCTTTGTGTTTCTCAGAGTATTCATTACTCTTTTGGCCCCTCAAGAGGTTTCAACTATTGCCAGTTTCTTTTCTCAATACTAGACCGATTACTAAAAAATTTCCTTTCTAGTTCTTTTTTAGAGCTCTTTATGAGAAATTTTCTTACTCAACATATCATCCAATGTGTTCAACCACTCTTTTGTTGTTTCATGGATGCAAAAGGGCAGATTTCATACAGAGGGAATTTTTTTTTAATTTATGCTCTTAAACCACACTTTCCTTAATTTTTTATGCAGATTCTGTTCATAATCCCTTGCATAAGTTACACATTTCAAAGAGAGAGGCTAGGGAAATAGAACAGATGTTGCATCAGCTAGGTAATCCTACAATTAAACTATACACTCTCTTGTAAATGTTTTAAGTATTTCTGCAGTCATAATTTATAAATTTACTAAACAGCTTAAAGATCACATACAATTCAGAGAGAAAAGCAATTACTTTACATATTGAAAATGTAATCTTTAATATTTACTTGATGGTATTGCAATTCTGAATACTTCATTGCATCCTAAAATGCACCTGAAGTTCTGTAGCATAATAATATAGACTTTTGCTTTATTATGAATCTTTTCAGTTGATTATCATAAATAAAATATGGTATGTCACACTTATTTCTATGCAAGAAATACTTCATTTTTCTTCTTAAAGCCTTTTCCCCCTCCTTCAAACACTAATGAGCTCTATAACTCAGGGCAATATAATAATTAAGGTCATTTTAATTTGTGCTCAAGCTGACAGACGTGGAATAAGAAAGTTCATTATATTAGATTAACAATTATACAATAGAAAGGGACCACATCCATTTATTACTTTATTTGATGAGCAAAAACGTGGGATGTGCTGAAGTTATTTTTGTAATTTTAACTTCCTTAAACAAATGGCACAAATTAATAATTATAAGAATTTTCATTTTGAAGCACTGGTCAAACAAATATTTCTTTGTCCTTTAATACTTTATTTACATTTAATGTCAAAACAAGTTGAAGCATGTTATGTCTCGTACTTTTTCTGAATGTTCATATTTTTATTTTTATAATTATTATTATTTTCATTACAATCAATTATGTAATATATATATATATAT